TATTATCTATTAAGCACATCTGCCAATATTATCATTTAGGCACAGCTGCCAGAATTATGACATTCTCTATTAGGCGCAACTGCCGATATTGTCCTTTGGTCGCGACTGCCAGGGTTATGATGTCATCTATTAGGCGCAGCTGCCGATACTATCTTTAGAGCGCAACTGCTAGGATGTTTAGAGTAGATCAAAATCATCTACAGATTGTGGCGCAGCTGCCAATGCTCATATATAGGGTACTAGGTCCATTGCTGCCAATGTTCACCTATAGGGCACTATGTCCATACTGCCAATGTTCCTCTATATCAACTTTCATCCCTCATCATTGATCTACCGATGTTTTACCCAACATATTTTGTAGATATAAAATACATATACAATTTAAATCATTTAAAACATGTATAAAATCGTTCATCCAACATAGATAACAAGTATACAGATAATATGCACACATAGCACGTAATTTATATAAAATACTTCATATCTATGTGTAAGATGAAAGTAATTATGCACTCATTTGTTAAAGTGATAATTCCAAACTCGGAAAACGCTTCTCTTCTTAACAATATAATTTCCTTCGACGAAACCTAGTATTATTACCACTAGATTTTAGTCTAATATTTATTGCGCCTAATTATTAGTCTAGATTCGTCATTAACTCATAGTCTACTTCATGATCTACCAAGTAAGGAACAACCAGGTAGGACCATATCGGAGGTAGGGTCCATTTGGTATACGAAGTATACTGTTTGGAAATCTCACTTTAAACATCTCACTAAATCACAGCCTAGACATCATCCCCGAAAGTAGATCAATTAGTATAACGACTTTGAATCACTGATAAATCTTATTTATAGGTTAATAATAACGATATTATAATTAAATATAAGGTATATATAAAGTAGGGTAAGCGTATCTCACCTACATCGGGTTTTGCTAAAAACCGGGTTCCGTTGGAGCAGAGCTTCTAAGCCGAAAAGCTTTTTTTCTCGGAGCCTTCGGGCACTCCGGGTCTTTCCTCTAGCAACTTGAGGTTACTAGGGATTTAGAGGGGTTTTGGGAGTCTAGAGAGAAGTTAGAGAGAGAAAGAAAGGTTTATGGTGTGAAGAAAATATAAAGGATTCACCCTTTATTTATAGGGGTTTTATCGTAGAGTAGGCCCAAAGTTTCGTCCGTATCTTCCGCGTACGATCTCAATTTCTATGTTCTTTATATGAACAAGTTGGTATTTACAATTAATACAAATTTTATTTTGACGCCGTCGGCTAATTCTCATTCTATCTCAGACTTACAAAACTGTATCGAATTTATCGCGCTCGAAGAGTAGGGACCAAGTTTCGTCCATATATTTAACATACGAGATCTATTCTTAACGTTATTTATATCCATGCGTTGATATTTACAAGTACTACAACTTTCATTTAGACTCCACTGGCTAATTCTCCTTCTATCTCAGATTTACAAATTTGTATTGAATTCGCCGCGCTTGAAGAGTAGGGACTAAGTTTCATCCATATCTTTCGCATACGATCTCCGTTTTTGACTGTCTTTTTATATTTGAGCTCCTATTAACGAGATCTTTAATTCTCGTTTAGACTGTTTTGGTTAAAAATAGACCGATCAAAAATTCGAATTTCGGGCTGTGCACTTCTATGCTAAATCTTAGAAAAGTCATAACTTCTTCATATGAAGTCAGATTGGGACGTTCTTTTTATGCACACTCTCGGTTTTACATATACTACGACTTTCATTTAGATCACTAAGGCTAGAAAGTATTTTATCGTAAATTCACTTTTTACGATTCCCGGTGTCGTGCCGGTTTTGCCTTAAAACTTCGACGGGTCATAACTTCTTCGTTATAACTCGGATTTCAGCGTTCTTTATATGTACGAAACCCTTGTGACATATACTATAACTTGGTCAAGATTATTTATTCTAAATAACATTATATCGAAAAAAGTTATTTTTGACGCATATTGTCCCTAAATTAACTAGCCCGAATTTGCGGGCGTTACAAAGTAACCATACCAAGCATATCCTATTCAGGCCATCATATTGCTGACTAATCGGTTCTAGCATATAACTCAAGAAGCTCATATACCAGGTGTCACACCCCCAGCCGGCGGCGGAAACACCGGGCGGTGTAACGTCATTCCTTATATCATAGTTATCAAATATATATTGAACAGTACAAAAGAATTATTGTAAACTACGCACCTTTAATGATAATAGAAAGTTATATTATTCCAGCTTATCAAGGTCCTGAAAACACATGCGTTTTGAAAATACGTCAACATGGAGTTGGTGAGTTCATAGGTTTTGACTCTGAGTAAAGATAGTACTTTTTCCCAAGTTGGAAAAGTATTTAATATAGTTTGAAGATATCATTTTGACTCATACTTGTTTCTAACATATAGAATATATATCCTAGGTATAATGGTTTACTTACCAAATAAGTAGTATACCTATAAGTCTCATATATAAGTGTTTGTAATTCCATACAAACGTAGGTTACTACGTAAAAATCCTATTTCAATTCTATACGAGTAAAAACGGCTACGTATAAATCTTATTTCAATTCTATACGAGTAAAAATGGCTACGTACAAATCTTATTTCAATTTTATACGAGTAAAAATGGCTACGTATAAATCTTATTTCAATTCTATACGAGTATGTAGTATATGTATAATTGTCTACTTAATGACTAAGTAGTATACCTACAAGTTCCTTGTACTTAGAGTATAAGTGTTTTGGAAACTTATACTTAACATTCATACTTGTATATCAACAAAGTATAATGCTTCTAAAGTTGTGCTACCATGAGTCCGTAACCGCGACTATATGACTTAGTTTCAAAGTTCTGGTTATGGTTACAAGGATCACACCTTGTAATAGTTTCCACACGCTTCATCGACGTCGGAAGGTAGTAAATTAGGCAAGTTCGTCACCCGCCAAATATTGGTTGTAGCTAACAACCACGGGTGGGGTTTTCAACCCGTATCTTATTCATACACGACTTCCTCGCTCGTACAGGATTAGCGGTTACAGGTCAGAGGATTTTCCCTAAGATTTCCAATCTTAGTTGATAAATAAGGTAGCTCATGTAGACTTGTCGAGTTCCGTTTAGTTCTAGTAGTTAAAGCGTATTTGTTTCTAAAACCCTAAGGTATTAGACTATGCTTTAAGCATTACTCCTAATATTTATAATACTTAGGCAGTACAACAAGTATAAATTGAGTTAAAACTAGGTTTTATCTTGACATAAAACCAACAATAGTAACATACTTAACAAGTATATATAGAACTCCTGAATATACCTTCAGGGTTATATTAGTAACATAATAGGTTTTATCTTGACATAAAACCAACAATAGCAACATACTTAGTAAATAGTATATAGAACTTCCAGGTATAACTCCGGACCTATATCGCACACAACATATATATATATATATATATATATATATATATAATATATATATATCTATATATATATATATATATATATATATATATATATATATATATATATATATATATATATATATATATAGAATCCTAATTATAAGTCAAGATCTAAATTAGTATACTTCTATAACAATAGCATGCTAACAAGTTTACGATAGTTATATATTTTCGAAATATGATATACAAAACAACTATATGCCGGTTAATATAACTATCTATATTGATACGAACATACTATCATATAGACATAATATTAACTTAAATACAATATTTAGCATGTGTTTTCCCCCGAAAACATTAGAAAGTGGGGCCGTGAAACTCACTTTAATATCGTGTTTTGACAGAATATAACTGAAAACGGTCAGTAGTTCGCTATCGTCGGGCTCGGGATGCGAAATGGCCTCAGCAAACGAGAGAGAAAGAAGAGAAATGGTGTAAGGAATGCTTATGGCCGAACTTGCTATTTATAGGCTGATTTTTGGCCCTCACGACGTGAGAATGATAGGCTCACGTCGTGAGCTATGGCAAGAGTCATCCTGTAGTCTTTCCAGGTGTTTTCTAGGCTCGATTAGTGTCCTGCAGCGTCCTCACGTCGTGAGAAAACCTTGCTCACGTCGTGAGCTTTTGGGTTATCGTTCCGTAGACTTCTAGCTTCGAAATGTGGCGTTTTGACTCCTCACGGTGTGAGTTTTGATTCTCACGTCGTGAGTTCAGTCAGATTAGGGTTTCTGACAGTTGTATCTTCGGAAGGTCGTAACTTTTGCATACGAACTCTATTTTTGACGTTCTTTATATCCACGCGTAGGTATTTAAGAGTACTAAAACTATCCTTTAGATTAGAATAGCTAATTCTAATTATATTTTAAATTCCTCTTATTATAGAGATTTATAGTGTTAGGGTTTATCATAACTTCTTCACGCGAAGTCAGATTTAGACGTTCTCTATATTTTTGGAATCGTATAGACGTATACTTTGAGTTGTATCATAAATTATGTATGAAAGTTTATACTTTAACATGAATTACATAGTAAGTTTATCACATTACTAGTTTAACAAAATCACATTACATGATTTGCATAATCACATGTGATTGTTTTTGACCTATTTTGACTGGTGTTACACCAGGAACATAAGGCATCTTCCCAGATCCTTAGCCCTAATCTAGCATGAAGTTCTTATATAAATATAATAGGAATATAAGGCATCCTTACTAGATCCTTAGCCCTAATCTTGCATGCAGTTCTCATAATCATATCATATCGTAAGATAACAGGTATGGGTATCTTGGGAAAAACCTAATTGAGCTCGGCCGGTTGCATGCATCACACACCTTGTGCCTTCTCAAAACCTTTTATTTTAAAAACTTAGAAATTTATTTTCTTGTAAAAATATTTCAAACCCTCGATTTGAGTCCAGACACCCCCGAAGGTGTGTCCGAATCCCTCAAACCAAGGCTCTGATACCAAATTGTAACATCCCAAATTTTAAGACCAAAAATTTTGTTTTTAATTAAGCAGTTTATAATATAGTTTACTGAAAACATCATCAATATCATATCAAACCCATAAACCCATAAGTCAAATGTCATAAAACATGTCATGGAATAATAATGTCAGAGTACAATCCCAAGAACATCATGGTGCGGAAAATAATGGTGTGATGCGCTGCTACCGAGCCGGCTCCTTTCCCTTCGAAGAAAGAGGGCCTGAAACAAAAACTGTAAACCGTAAGCACAAATCTTTGTGAGTCCCCCCATCATACCACATACCATATATAACACATAATGTCTAATATATTTGGGTACTGACAACCCCTTCGGTCTCTTTCAACCGGTCAGGGTGCTGGCCTACCCCTTCGGTCCTGTCGACCGGTACCTAGCCTAGCATATCAAGGTGTTGGCCTTCCCCTTCGGTCCTGTCGACCGATACCAGAGACTATTTCACCCCTACTTCTACCACATAGTATCCTAGTGCATAACATAAAAATCATATACTGCCTAGCTTATTTGGCTGTTGGCATACCCCTTCGGCCCTATCGACTGGTACTAGGGTCTATCCTACCCTTCCTACGATTATCACATATCATAATAGCATACTAATACATAAACATAAAATACCAGATAATTATCACAAAGACAATCATCTAACAAACATCTCCTACTAGTGGGCCGACATTGTGGCCTTAAACCCACTTCTACTGGAAGGTAACTCACCTCGATGTCGTGTAGTAACTGAACTGTCCTCGATGCTGGGATCAACTATCCTCAAAGTCCTACACATATCAGTCTCCTGTAGTTACTCCTCATATTCATATCCCCTTTAAGGGCCAATCTTGGATAAAGGTCAAAGTCAAAGTCAAAGTCAACACTCTAGTCAAAGTTAACACCCTGGTTGACTCAACTAGCCGAGTTGATCCATCAACTCGTCGAGTTCCATAATATAGAGAATCTCGAATTCACGATCTGACTCATTGAGTTACCCTCTAACTCGCCGAGTTTCTCCTTACGACAGAATCAGGACTTTCCATGTGAACTCGTCGAGTCCTTCCTTGGACTCGTCGAGTTCTCCTTCATACAGTCGGGACATTTGCTCACTGACTCGGCGAGTTCATCCTTGGACTCGTCGAGTTATTGACCTTTAAGTCCAAAACACGTCTAACTGGCTGAGTTATCTTCTAGACTCAACAAGTTGCTAAGTAACATAGAAGGTTGGGGGAACCACGACCCGACTCGCCAAGTCATAAGAACAACTCGTCGAGCCCCCATGATCCAAATCTATACATTCTATTTTAGTCGGGCTTAATGCATCCAAAACATAGATCTAGCCTCCTAGGGTCGATATGACACATAAAGTTACAAACTTTACGTTCATGCTTGGGATATTTAGCTCAAAAATCCCTAAAAAGTGGTTCATAGGATGCATGAGACTCCCATGGCCATAAAGTTGGCACCTTTATGCTATGGAGTCCCACAAGGACCCTGGATCTGAAGTCTAAACCCCAAAACATGCTTGCATCCATGAATGGTTCCAAAAATGGCTCCTTAAAGTCCTATACTACCCCAAAAGAGATCTACTAGATGAATGGACAAGGTATAAACTTTATACCTCAAATGAGCTGGAAATGGAACACAACCTCTGGATCTACTTGCTTCCTCTTCAACTCCCAAGCTTCTTCTTCCTTCTCAAGCTTCAAAACCACAAAAAACACACAAAAATGGCTCAAGAACACTCAAAATGGGCTAGGGTTTCGAATTAGGGTTTTCTGGACTAAGGGAGACGATGATAGAGGCCACAATGGGGGTGTTAAGGTGTTTAAATAGGGTGCAACCCCTGAAAATTAGGGTTTCACTCTGGCAGGCTTACTCGTCGAGTCGAGGCTCCTCGACTCGTCGAGTAGACTTCAAGTCTCGCGTCCACTCTCCCAAACCTTACAAATTAGGGAGTCATAATAAGTGATGGAAAACCCACTTTTTAAGTAATAATATCTATTTTTTAAAATGATATTTTTTTGAAATAAATTATATAACATTAATGATAAAATGTGTACAAAAAGGTTTAATGGTAAAATGTGTAAATAAAGGTTTAATGGTATAATGTGTATAAAAAAAGTTTAATCGTATAATGTGTACAGAATAAACAGTAAAATCCATGTCAGCAGCCATACGGCATGTCACGTGGCTGGTGACCTACTATTACCGGTAACGTAATTGTATTTTTTGAGGAAATGTGAAGTTTAATGGTCATATGTGTACAAACGTTATAGTTGGTTGGCGATATGTGCACAAAAAAAAGTTCAACGGTATTTTTTGTACAATTCTAATACTTCGTTACCCTTGCAAGTCATTTTCCCTTAATTTTTGAAATGCCCAAAGCAACTGTTATTAAATCTTCTTTTGTCTCTTTGTCTCGTTCTACTTTCTCAATCTTAGCATTAGCCTGATCGATCCTTTTTTGTAACCTATACTATATGTAAAAATTGAAAATTTAATTTTACTAAGTTTTTATTAATAATTATGTATGAGAATCAAAATAAAATTAGTAGTATTACGCTTCTGGGTTTAAGATCCTCTTTTGGCTTTCCATATGTACCCTTCAATGGAGGCTTCCCTTTTCTTGAACGATCCAAATCGGTTTCTAGTTCTTCCATAACACCCTAATCAAAATATATTCATTTAAAATTAGAAACTAAAATAAATACAACACATATTATAAGTTGGGAAAAATACAGGGCGACAAGAAGGATCAATCCATTCATTGTAATATGAGAACAAGCTGCAACCTACCTTTTAGGCGAAAGAGAAAGAATTAAAAAGTAAGTACTTCAATCTCTTTTCTTAGGTAGAGTGCTATAATATGAAGAAATGAAAGTATGTTGATGTATAAAGATTACCCAAGAAGAGGGAGAATTGCACCAACAACAACCCCAACCCAAGTTTTGATTGGATCCCATCCATAAACTTGATCCGCTAAGGTTCAATAAACATGAATATGTGAACTTTATAGGCAAAGAAGGGTTTTAGATGCAGAATTAGAAAAAATAAAAGGCTTTGGATTCACACTCTCCAAATAGAAGACAAGTAGACAACCATGGTGACAAAGCTTTCTAAAAGACTAAAACTCATTCCAATATCTGCCTAGCTACCAATTCTAACATAAATTCAAATAACCTGAAAAAATAGAAAATATCAGAAACCTGTGAAAAACATGTTAAACATCACCGATGATATCTTCCTTCTTCCCCCTCCCTATAAACTACAACGAATAATATGAAAAAAATCAGATATTACAAGAATTAATATGAATAATGAAATTGGTATTTCAAATGGCGTTTTACCACAAAAATGAAGGTACCAAACAATAGAAAAAGGTCCCAAACACATATCTTGCAATTTAGGGAGTAAAATACATGACAAATATAGTCTCAAAAGTCATAAAGAAAGTAAATTCCATTGGTTAGAACACTTTTAAATCTATATATTTATGCTCACATTCTATGATGTGTGACCTAATAAACTACAAGGCTTCTTATACGACATAGCAAAACCTTAATATATAGGTTAAAACAATAAAGTAATTGGTATTTTGTATAGATAAATGTATTACCTTAGATGTTGCTTGGGTACATGAACACCCTAACCCTAGCTCCCTGCAAACAGAAAAAGAAAAGATTTTAAGAAGTTCACAAAGAACACAGAAACAAACTGATGAAACTTATGGGGGGATATTAATCGTGGATTTAGGAGGAAGATTAGACGAAAACTTAGCACGAACAACATCGGTGTTCCCATGAGGCTTGGTAACTTTCCCCAAACGCATTGATAATAAGATCCATCCCTCTTCACCTTAGCTTTATAGATGTAAGCCAAGCACTTTCTGTGATACCAGGGTACCTCCTCTTTTGTGTTAATTCCTTCGATTTGACAAGGATTTTGTCTGGTTGTACTTTCAATCTTCCCCTTCATCGCTTCCTCATTCTTTCACATATCCCCCCCTATCTAATATATCTCGTTTCTTCTTGCTGTGAAGAGTAGGTGGATCTTTAGCAAAAGAAAGACGAAAAGTTATGCGTTGATGATTTGTTGAGTCGATGGCGAAGGGAATTTAAGTCGATGGTGGAAAAGTAGCTGACGACAGACATTGCAAGAGGGAGAAGAGCCAAGAAGTCGGCAATAAAGAGTCACTTTGGGGACAAAAGGGATGTAGAAAGTCAGTGTAAGCTATGGAAGAGAGGTTGAAGGGCGAGCAGAAGTAGCAGAGTGAGTTTGTCGAGAAATTTGAGGAGTGGATCTGTCGAGGGATTCCTGTGGAAGTAAGTAACCAAGGAACAGTACTCTGATTAGATACTTTATGTCCATTAATATATATATATATATATATATATATATATAATATATATATATATATATATATATATATATATGATTACGTGTATAAGCTCATAACTATAATTGGCATGTACTTGAATTGATAGTGGCATGGTTCTTTTGGTTTGCCTTCACACTTGCAACTAGACTTGGCATGTACTTGAATTGATAGTGGCATGGTTCTTTTGGTTTGCCTTCACACTTGCAACTAGACAGGATGGTTAATTGAGAAAGATGAAGAATTTATTAATTTGATTAATAAATTGGAATAAATGATTTATTAATATGTTATGGAAATAATATATTAATTAGTAATCATATTATTAATTAATATTTAATCAGAAGTTGATTTGGAATTAATTTTGGGATTAAATGAATTAATTAAAGGTGCAGGGACTAAAAGTGAAATTGTTCAATAGTTGAGCAAAAGGGTCCAAAACCTTCCTAGGGAAGGTGGTGAACGAAATTATATATGTATATAAGATTATTCTAGAATTTCTAGAATATTTTATCATATATGGATAATCAAAGGAGGTGGATAATTACCATATTTGGGATAATGATATTTTATTCAAATTAGGGTTATCCATAGATTCTTGGTGCACTATATAAAGGGTGCTAAACCCTTTGATTTTCGGCCAGGAACTATAAGAAGAAGAAACCGAAAAGATGATCTCCTTCCCCTTCTCTCATAGCATTCTCTTGCATTGTGTGTTTGTGAGCCATTAGAGGTGTTACACTTGTGACACTAAGTTCTCAAGCTTCAAGATCTATAAAAGAATCATTGTTATTACAATATAACAATCAAGGTATGTAACCTAACCCTAGTTTTATGTTGATTTCGAAATTTGTAGTTACCTCATAGGGTTTCTCCTTTTGTATTCAAGTTTGCATGTTCAATTATAGAAAACCTAGATCCAAAGCATTAGGGTTGCATGCTCATATAGGAATTGTTGTTATGCTCAAAACACATCACTGGTATCAGAGCCTAGGATTAGTTTTCTATTGAATTGATGCAAATGGGAATTTTTCAAAGGAGAAGGGAACATAATCGACATTCTGTTCATCGAACTCGTCGAGTTGGTCTTTAAACTCAACGAGTTGACATGCAACTCGACGTCGTCATTGCCCAACTCGACGAGTTGCACTGTCAGATCCAATATTTTCGGTTTTGATAATTGTCTGATGGATTGATTAGGATAATTACCTTAAATTCGTTTTTAATTGTTTAAAATTGGATATTTTAATCATCAATTTGTATCCTTATCATGAATTCATGATCAAGTTAAATTTTTTTATGATAAAGATAAATTAATTTGTTAATTTGATTATTAAAAATTTAACCTAGTATTTTTGAAAAGTCTTAAAAATACATCCTTGGAATATCTTGGTTTTAATATTTAAATTAAATAGTTTAATTTTGAAATCTGAAATTTTAGAACCCTAGTATTTTAAATGTTTAAAATACACCCTTATATATATATATATATATATATATATATATATATATATATATATATATATATATATTGTAAAATTAAAAGTTAATTTTTATATATATGTATAAGAAAAGTCAGTCTTACCGTTTGTAGGCCTCATTCACGAAGCTGGTCTATAAGGGGAGTTTAAGGAAGCGGTGTATAAAATGACCGCCATTGGGTATCCACTCTTACCCACCGCTCCCTTGACTAGTGGAGGGTCGTTAGCCGAAAGGATTTGATAGGGCACTAAAATCTCATTAATAAGTATAATGGAATATATAAAGTAACTAAATGTTTTTATAAAATTCCCAATATTAGTTACTTTAGGAAAATGTGAATTTGATGCTAATCCATGAAATTGCACATTGCACTTTATAAAAGTCGTTCGTGGAGCGTGTGTGGTTAACCAACACACTAAGATGGACTAATAAAGGGTGGAAATGGGTAGCTCGTAAATTATCATTGATTAATAGAGCACATGTGGTTAACCGACACATTAATTAGGTGATAAATAACATCGAGAGTACCAATCTAATTTGCATGGTTATTCACACCTTGTTTGTGATCCTCGTTATCCCAGTCACAAATGGAAAGGGCATAATTAAGAAAAAACATGCCATTGAATGGTTCGATGAATCTCAAAATATCTAGGAATTTCATTTAAAACTTAATTCGTTTAAATTTCATTTTCGTGGTGGTGAAATTGGTTAATCGTCGTTTACCTACCTTTAAATAATTTGCAATTAGATTACGACATCCAATTTCTGAATTGTGAATTATTTAGTTAGATACTAGCCTTAATATTTCATTTGAGTGTTATATTGAGGATTTTCTTATCTAATGAAAACTTGTTCTTCTTTTCAAATGTCAACTTCCAACAACGCTTCTGGTTCCTCTAACAACAACTCCAACCACTTCTCGCTCTTGAGCATCTGCTCCAAAGTCACTTTCGATGGTACCAATTATAATGATTAGATACGCAACATCAAGATGGCTTTGCGATTCGAGGACAAGGAATATGTTCTCAAAAAAGAGCTGAACGAGATCGATGAAACTAAAGCTACTCCTGAAGAAATAGCTGAGTATAGGCGAAACTGCAATGTTGCGACCAAAGTGTCATGCATCATGGTTGCCACTATGACTCCTGACCTACAACGGTTCTATGAGGACTATTGGCCATATGAGATAAACAAGGACTTGATGGAAAAGTACCATCAACAATCTTGTCAAGAGAGGTACGAAATTCTGAAGTCACTCATCACCAGCAAGATGAAGGACAGAGAGTCTGTCATGACTAACTTGCAACACATGCGACGATATGTGGATCATCTGTTAAAGCTTAATGTGAACTTAGATGAGGTATTGGCTATTGACATAGTCTTGTACTCATTCCCTAGTTGTTATGATCAGTTTGTCATGACTTATTATCTGAACAAGGAGGAAACCACATTGAGTCAACTCCAAAGCTTGCTGAGAACCGTAAAAAGTGGAATGAAGGGAAAGACTATTGCCTCCAGTCTTGCTGCTGCTGCTCCCATCTTGGCTATTGGGCAAAGGAAGGGGAAGAAGAGGAAAGCTCCCTTGAAACAGAACTGGAAGGGAAAGTCTTAAGCCGGGTCGTCAAGCAATGGCCCCAAACTCAAGTCTAGTTCTGAAGCTCCTCTCGCCTCTGACCCCAAAGAGGCTACTTGCTTCTATTGCTATGACAAGGGACATTAGAAACGAAGCTGCCCCAAGTACTTGCAAGATATAAAGGATGGCAAGGCTAAGCCAACATCGGCAGGTATTTACACTATTCTATCTAAAAACTCATCACAGTCAAATTCTTGGGTTCTTGATATGGGATGTGGTTTTCACATTTGCTCTGACTTGCAGGGACTAAAAAGAAGTGAAGATATGGAGTATTGGAAGATGAACCTAATTATGGGAAATAGGAGATCGTCACCTGTTACCAATATTGGTGTTTATTCTTTAGTGCTTAGTGGTGGGTTATGTTTAGATTTAAATAATTGTTGCTACTTGTCGGAAATGACAAGAAATATTATTTCATTTCATGGTTTATATAAACACGGTTTTGGATATTCTTTTGATAATGAGAATGGTTATATTCATGCTTATTATAATGGTGTATTTTATTTTGAAGCATTACCTTGTGATGGCGTGTATGAAACTGTGATGATTGTAGACAATTTAGGAAATAATGTGTTGCAAATTGATTCTTCTAATGGTTTAGACAAAGCATGCCTGTGTCATTGTTGTCTTGGACATGTTAACAAGAAAAGCATTGCCCAACTCCAAAAATATGGATTGTTGGAATCATTTGACTTAAGTTCAGATGATACATGTGAATCTTGTTTACTTCGAAAGATGACTAAATCACCTTTCACTGGTTCTTGTGAAAGAGGTGAAGGATTGTTGGATCTCATACACACGGATGCATGTGGGCCCTTCAGATCCACCACAAGGGATGCAAATCGATTTTATGTGACTTTTACTGATGATTATAGCAGATATGGATATATCTACTTAATCAAGCATAAGTCAGAAACCTTTGAAAAGTTCAAAGAGTGCAAACATGAAGTCGAGAATCAATTGGGCAGGAAGATCAAGATGCTCAGATATGATAGAGGTGGTGAGTATCTTAGTATCGAGTTCCACGACTATCTTAAGGAACGTGGAATTGTTTCACAATTGATACCTCTTAGGACACCACAACTTAATGGTGTGGTGAGAGGCGTAATCGAACCTTGTTGGACATGGTTCGTTCCATGATGAGTTAGGCTTCACTTCCAATCTCATTATGGGGGTATGCCTTAGAGACTGCTACCCATATTCTTAATCTAGTCCTAACAAAGAAGGTTGCCAAAACACCTCACGAGATGTGGACAGGGAAGGTTCCCTCGTTGGCACATATCAAGCTTTGGGGTTGTGAAAATTTCATTAGAATAGAGACTCACGACAAGCTTGAACCTCGAAGTGAGCGATGTATTTTCATCGACTACCCACAAAAGTCCTTTGGATACTTGTTCTAGAGACCTAGTGAAAACGTGGTTTTCGTAGCACGAAGGGGAGTCTTTCGCGAGAGAGAGCTCATATGAAAAGAGGACAGTTGGAGTATAATTGATCTTGAATAAATTCAAGAGTCAAACGATGAAGGAACCTCTAAGACTAGAGCTCAACCCGAGGAAGAAATACATGTTGAACCAATTGACGAGTCGTTACCTCTTAGCTGTTCCAATTGAGTTAGAATCACACCTGAGTTTTATGGGTTTCATATAACTACAGATGGTGAATCATTTATTAGTGATAAGACACTGATAAATTTGGATGATCCTTCTAAATACAAGGAAGTAATGGCAGGCCCTGAGTCTGCTAAATGGAGAGAGGCAATGGATAACGAGATCAAGTCCATATATGAAAACCAAGTTTGGAATTTGGTTGACAAAGTACCAAGTCGTAAGACAGTGGGGTGCAAATGGATCTTCAAG